TACCTTATCAGATAATTATGCAGTTTAAATAATATAACTTACATAAGTCTAGCACATGCCTAACACAAAGTAAGTATCCAATAAATGTTAGCTTCTATTAAGTGCTGCACAAATACCCTGTATTATTTTATTAATATTACTATTTGCTGGGCACTTGAGGGGTTAATACAAGGATGAGCGAAACACTCCATGCTCTACCCTGGCTCCTGTCTGGCAGAGGATACAGACATTATACAGGATTTCAGACCCAGCAGGCTGTGGGCTGCTCATAAGCCAGGGATACTGGATGCAGAGGAGGGAAGGGATCTGGGAGGTAGATGTGGGATCAGACCTGCATCTTGAAGGATGAGTAGGATGCTGATGGGCAGAGAAAGCAGGCAGGGCAGAAATAGCAAGCAGGGCCTTTCTAGCAGGCGACACAGCCTGGGGAAAGGCACAGGGCAGCCAGATGCTGGGCTTTTGGGCCCAGGGCAGTGGCAGATGGGGACAGGGAGCCAGCAGTGTTATGGTTGGTTTGCAAGACAGTGAGGGTCTGCATCCTTGGAGAAGAGATGAACAAGACTTGTCTTCCTCTTTTGTAGCCCGCTCCCAAAAGACTTCAGGCATTGGGCGCCTGATGGTGCATGTCATTGAAGCTACAGAATTAAAAGCCTGCAAACCAAATGGTAAATCCTGCTTTCATTCCTTCAAGACATGGTAACTGCCCTGCCCCAGTTTTTGCTGATGACTTTTTGAGACGGAGTCTCGGTCACCCAGGCTGGAGTGCAGTGGCCCAATCTCAGCTCACTGCAACCTCTGCCTCCGGGGTTCAAGTGATTCTCAAGGCTTAGCCTCCCGAGTAGCTGGGATTACAGGTGCGCACCACCATGCCTGGCAAATTTTTGTACTTTTAGTAGAGACGGGGTTTTACCATACTGGCCAGGCTGGTCTCGAACTCCTGACCTCAAATGATCCAACCACCTCGGCCTCCCAAAGTGCTGGGATTACAGCACTTTGTCATTGACAAACTGAATAAAGGAATGCTTTCTAATAGTGTGTCCAGTGCCACTAAAATGCACATATTGGACCAATATTCTCATCACTGTTTTCCCAGTAAGTGCCAGTGCCCGCCTTCCCCAGTGTGTGTGCCAGGGAAGCATGCAGCAGGTTGCAGTGACACTCGCCCAGGCTTGCTCCGTGGGGAGCGGTCCTGGTGGTGGAGCTCTCAGCCACGCCCCGGTTAATGCTGCTGTCAGCACTGGGAACTTGGAGACCCTGTTACTAGACCACAGGGATACGGTGCCTCAGGCAGTGGCTCCTGCTGCCATGGTCTCGAGTGACCCGTTATCTGGGATCCTGCTTCTGCTCAGGGAGGGCACTGTCAGTCACTTCGTTTTACCTGCATGCACCACATGTGTCTGTGGTTTGTTTTTGTTCAGGGAAAAGCAACCCATACTGTGAAATCAGCATGGGCTCCCAGAGCTACACCACCAGGACCATCCAGGACACACTCAATCCCAAGTGGAATTTTAACTGCCAGTTCTTCATTAAGGATCTGTACCAAGATGTGCTGTGTCTCACCCTGTTTGACAGAGACCAGTTTTCACCAGATGGTAAGTGTCGCTCAGCCAGGGGATCTAAAGGCTTTCCAGTTTCCTAGATCCTGGAGTCCTGATCCAGGGGCCTCAGCTGTGTGCAGACCCCTTGCCACTTCGGGGAAGTGACACAGGCCTGTGTCATCTCGCTTTGGCAGGAGGTGGGTGGCCTTCCTCAGGGGAGGGGGTGGCCTCAGATAGTTTCAGGCCTTTGACCCATCACTCCCTACACACGTGACGCGAACACCACTCCTGGAGCATTCTCAGAATGGAGATTTGAATTCCACGTGGCAACTTCTCACACATAAACCTGCCACCATTCCCCACACACCCATTCACGATATTCAACAGCCATGAACCAGAAGAAGTTCCTTGTTTCAGATGTGAAGGTTTTCTGAATCCTACTTCAGACACTCTTCCGGATGTAGCTCTTTAATGATTTTATAAAGAAGAAAGACTCTGACTCTCCTCTGTTTATTCACCAGATTTCCTGGGTCGTACTGAAATTCCAGTGGCCAAAATTCGAACAGAACAGGAAAGCAAAGGCCCTGTGACCCGCCGACTGCTGCTGCACGAGGTCCCCACCGGGGAGGTCTGGGTCCGCTTTGACTTGCAGCTTTTTGAGCAAAAAACTCTCCTGTAGGGGTTCTAAAGGACAGCACCAGTGGGACAGCCCACAAGGCTGGGGCTGGAGAACGAGAGACTGCGCTCTCTTAGGGCTGAGGGAGCACCATGCAGCTTCACCCCTCACAAAGCCATGCACGCTGGGGGCTCTGTTTTCCTGCACACTAAATAGCTAGCAATCTATGCAAACACCTTTCCTAAAAAGAAACCAAACCCCGTAGTACAGTGCCTTGTCCTAGTGTTCACATGTTCAGCTGTGTTTCGATGCCAAGGTTTCCATTTTCAGGGCTATAAAAAGTATTACATGGAAATGAGGCATCAGACCACCAGACGTTACCGCTCGGTTGAATGTGTCCACCGTGGAGTGGTTTGGTGATGCTGTAACCATTCCACGCCAGTGACCTCTGCTGGGTCACAGCCACTCAGGAGGGGAAGGGTCAGGATGAGAGGCTGCAGCCTCGACGCTTGCGCGGCCTGATACTGAAATAGCGTCTACTCGTGCACTGAATAAAAACAGAAACTTGATCATTTTTTTCCTGATTAGATTTTATCACTCTCTGCTAAGACAATATAGTCTGGAGTATAAGTGGGAAAGCTTGATTTAAATACTGTGAACTCTAATAATGTGGAAAATATTTTTCAACTTTAATTTTCTGAAGTATAAATTATTTATGTAAATTCATTGTTTTTGCATTTCATAGGACATGCATCTTTAAGCTTTATCATTGCCAATATGTACAGAAAGAGAATAAAGACATATGTTTATGGATGGAACTTCTGTCAAAGTCTGACTGATTTACTTTCTATATGAAAGCTTCTTTTTTTCTTTTTAATTTTCTCAGCCAGATGAAAGGCTCTTAAAAGGTGCCTTCAGAAGCTGCCTATAATGAAACCAAGTTTCCTTCCTGGTGCGTGGGGAAAACCAAGGACAGAGTGAGGGTGAGGTCAGGAGACCCAGCGCCTCACCTTGACTCTGCCACTAATTTGCTCTGTGACTTTGGTGCATCTACCTTATGCTTCGGGTGCTGGGTTTCTTTAATGGGTGAAATGGATGATCTCGGTGGGAGCCACTGACCCTCTGTGTCCTTCAGCTTGCCTCATCAAGTGATAACCTCAGGGTTACTTACAGTAAAGAAATGCACAAAGGTCTTAGACACTAAACCCCCTGATTAATGAGTAAAAACTGGGAAAAGATCTGTCCTTTTGTTGTTGTTTTGAGACAGAGTCTCACTCTGTCACCCAGGCTGGAGTGCAGTGGTGCAATCTCGGCTCACTGCAACCTCCGCCTCCTGGGTTCAAGCGATTCTCCTGCCTCAGCCTCCCAAGTAGCTAGGACTACAGGCGCCCGCCACCATACCCAGCTAATTTTTGTATTTTTAGTAGAGATGGGGTTTCACCACGTTGGCCAGGCTGGTCTCAAACTCCTGACCTCAAGTGGTCTGCCTGCCTGAGCCTCTCAAAGTGCTGGGATTACAGGCATGAGCCACTGTGCCCGGCCAGGTATGTCTTTTTGAAGGACTAATTTGGATTGCTAGGGCCCTGATTTCTAAGGGAGCAGGTCTCCAGGCAGCTGGAGGAACCAGGAAGGATTCAAATGTCCCAAAGGCTTGGGCCTCCACCGTAGCCCCTGCTTGTTTAAACATAATCGCTGGACAAAGGACTGGGAAACAGAACCGGCACATTCAGATTTAAAAATCCATCACTCACTCACTCAGCTATAGATCCTGGGCACTGATTGGTTAAAATATAGACATAAAAAAGGTAAGAGATGTCACTGGATATATGAAACTGAAACAACTGAACATACTGCTTTTGCTTATGGGAAAGTCTGGCTAGTCAGGCCCAGTCTCATGGAACAGAGTGAACTGCTGGCTGTCTCTAGGGTTGGGGCTTGTTGGTCACAAGGCCAGCCTGGCTGATGTCAGCAGCAAGGCTGCCCTGATGACTCAAAACCAGCTCTAGGCTTACTTGGAACAGAGCTACAGAACCATCCTGTGTTCCCAGGGCTGCAGGGACTGTAATCCTCACTGTGGCGAGTGCCATTTCTCCACTGCTAGATATGAGAGGACTCTTTGGTCAGATTTAGGGCAGAGGAGCCTCAGGACCAGAGTCAGACAACCTCTATGAAACCACAGACCACATGGGCGTCGGCACACCCGGCCACTCCAGCTGTCCCCTTATGCCTAGGAGTACACACCTGCCCCTTGAGAAATCAAATGTAGGCCTGACTTTTGGGAGGATATGGGATGTGCCTGAGTCTCCACACCCCGAGTCTCCATACCCCCCGAGTCTCTGTACCCCCGAGTCTCCGTACCCCAAGTTTCCATACCCCCTGACTCTCCATACCCCAAGACTCTGTACCCCCCGAGTCTCTGTACTGCCTGAGTCCATATACCTCCACCCCAGCAGGACCTGGCATATGTGCCTCATGCGCCCAGACGTCTCCCCTCTGCTGAGGACCCCCTCAGCAGCTCCCTCCAGTGCTCTTCAGGAGCAGGTGCTGTGGCGGGGGAGGGGCACTCCACTCTCTTAAAGGCAACCCATATTCTGAGCAATCTGATGATCAAGTCTGAGTGCACGTGAGGGGGGGATAAACATGCTATGTGGCACCTGAGGGACTGGCCTGAGAGAACACTGCCACCTCTGAGCTAGGGGACTGCCACCTCTGAGCAGCTCACCAAGCCTCAGAGCATTGTGTGTTGGGAGAGGATAATAGTGTCTTACTGCGAAAACTTTTCAGTGAACAAAGTACCTCACAGGGCTCCTGGTTCACAACAGGAGCTCAATAAACAAGAACTACTGTGATTTGGGTATTTCTTGCAATTTATTTCCACTTCTGGAAAAAGAAAGTATGTTTAGAGTATTTTAACTATTGTACAGACACTGCCAAGTCAAGTCCACCAAACTTCAGTACCAAGGGTGGCCCTGCCTGGCCGCCTTCTGCAGGGAAGCCAGGTGCTGCCCCAGGACCTCAGCTGTCATCACTCTTCTTCCTACAGGCTGAGGACCCCTGTGCTGTTGGCTGTCCCCAGCAGCCCAGGAGCGGGGTCTCTGCTGTCTGGTTCCTAAAACCTAGCAACAGAAGAGAAGGGCTAAGTGTGGTGCAGGGATGTGGGGCTTACAGGTGCAGGGAGGACCCCGCTGATTGCCCCACACTCAGCCCTCCTGCTGGAGCTGAGACCCCCATTTCAGGCAGGTTTCCAGCCAGCCCTCTTGCTTCACCTCTCTCTCTCTCACTCACTCTGGTTCCCGCAACTCTCAGACAAGGCTGTCTGTATCTTTGAACTCCACAAAGAACTAATCTTTTTGTGGCATGTACAGCAGGGATGACCAGATGTCCACAAAATGCTCTCCTGCCATTGTGGGCAGACCAGCCATGGAATAATTTTCCCCGTGCCCCCTGCACCCTACAGTTAGGGACAGACATGGGACTGGGTCCTAGCCCAGGGAACATCAGAGGAAGTGACACGCTGCCTCCAGCCCAGACCACATACACCTGACTCCCAGGAAGAACTCATCCACGATCTCTTCCCCTTTCAGGTTGACAGGAATGAGTTCCTGGGGCAACCTCGGAAGCCAGGTGCTGAAGATGACACAGGCCCATGAGATAGGGCCCCAAAAGACCGCACGAAGGAGGGACAGCCTGCTGACCCACTGGGACGTGCCGGGACATAAGCAAAACTTAACTGCTACTGCATTTAAACCTCAGTCCACTTGGGTCTACTAGTGTAGTCCACCCAACCATTAAGGGTAGAACTGACCACAGTCACATAAGATCTGACATAAACAAGTGGGACTATATCAAACTAAAAAGCTTCTGCACAGCAAAGGAAACAAAACAAAAAGGCAACCTACAGAAAGGGAGAAAATATTTCCAAACCATATATCAAATAAGGGGTTAATATCCAAAATACATAAGGAACTCATTCACCTCAATAGGAAAAAAGCGAATAACCCAATTTAAAAATGGGGACAGAGCCTCAACAAAGATTTTTCCAAAGCCTCCCTCCCGCCCCCCAAAAAATGTACAAATGGTCAACAGGTATATAAAAAGGTGCTCAATGTCCAACATCACTAATCATCAAGGAAATGCAAATCAAAACCACAATGAGATGTCCCCTCACACCTGTTAGGCTGATTAGGAAAAAGTTGAAAGATCACAAGTGTTCGCTTGTGTGGGACTGTTAGATAAGAGTTCTAAATTTCTTTTCAAAGAATATGTCAGTATGTTCAACTCTTTGGCTTCTACTTTTAAACTTCCTCGTAAAGCAACCTTTTTCGATTGCCTGCTCCACCCTAACTCATTCCAATTATCTGCTGCCTGCTCTGCCCTGACTCCCGCCAAAGCACTCACCCCGTCATTCTCTTTAAATTCGCCAATCAGAATTAGTTTAGCCTGTGCGGTCTAACCCTAGCCAATAGGTGACTGACACAGCAGCAGGGGCCATGTGCGTCAGGGATAAGAACCCCCTCTCCTCCCTTGTCCAAGTGTGTGCTCACCATTGTTCCATCTGTAAGGGCGCACCCTTCTATCCAGAAGTACCTTGCCTTGGGGCCGGCCACGGTGGTTCACGCCTGTAATCCCAGCACTTTGGGAGGCCAAGGCGGGCAGATCACAAGGTCAGGAAATTGAGACCACCCTGGCTAACACGGTGAAACCCCATCTCTACTAAAAATTAGCCAGGGGTGGTGGTGGGCGCCTGTAGTCCCAGCTACTTGAGAGGCTGAGGCAGGAGAATGGTGTGAACCTGGGAGGCGGAGCTTGCAGTGAGCCGAGATCAAGCCACTGCACTCCAGCCTGGGTGACAGAGCAAGACTCCATCTCAAAAAAAAAAAAAAAAAAAAAAAAAAAAAAAAAAAAAAAATTACAATGGGGACAGTAAATTTAGATAGCCATTACCAATTTTAGTTGGTCAACAACAATAACTAGAAGTACCTTGCCTTGCTGAGAATTAAAAAGAAAATCTTATATTCAAGTGCTATTTCTTTTGCGGCACCGAAACTTTACATATAACAGGACCCTTGTACACTGTTGGTGGAATGTAGATTACTACAGCCGTTACGGAAAACAGCATGGAGGTTTCCAAAAACACTAAAAACAGAATGACCATACAATTCAGCAATCCCACTTCTGGGTGTATATACATATATTCAAAGGAAATAAAATCACTATCTTGAAAGGATATCCACACTCCCGTGTTCATTGCAGCATTATTCACAATAGCCAAGAAATGGGAACAACCTAAGTGTCCGCTGACACGAACTGGTAAAGAAAATGCATATGGTACACATACCACGGACCATTAACCCGCCTGAGAAGAGAAGGAAGTCCTGTCATTTGCAACAACATAGGTGAACGTGGAGGATGCTATGCTAAGTGAAAGAAGCCAGGCACAGAAAGACAAATACTGCCTGATCTCATATTGTCAGAGGTGTGTGAACCAGGACATCTCCATCTTAAATAGGAGCTGGGTAAAATAAGGCTGAAGCCTACTGGGTTGCATTCCCAAACGGTGAGGCATTCTAAGCCACAGGATGAGATAGGAGGTGAGCACAAAATACAGTTCATAAAGACCTTGCTGATAAAACAGGCTAATAAAAAGGAGCCAGCCAAAACCCACCAAAACCAAGACGGCGACAACAGTGACCTCCGGTCGTCCTCACTGCTACACTCCCACCAGCACCGTGACAGTTTATGGACGCCATTGCAAGGTCAGAAAGTTACCCTATATGGTCTAAAAGGGGAGGCATGAATCATCCACTCCTTATTTAGCATACCATCAAGAAATAACCATAAAAATGGGCAACCAGCAGCCTTCGGAGCTGCTCTGTCTATGGAGTAGTCATTCTTTTCTTCCTTTACTTTCTCAATAAACTTACTTTCACTTTGCACTGTGGACTGGTCCTGAATTCTTTCTTGCTTGAGATCCAAGAAACCTCTCTTGGGGTCTGGATCAGGACCCCCTTCCTGTAATAATATGTGGTATCTAAAGATGTCGAACCCAACCAAACAGTAGAAGGGTGGTTACCAGAGTCAGGGCGTGGGTGCAGTGAGGTGACAGGTGTTGGTACAAACTTTCCATGGTAAGCATTGAGGCAGGAGAACAGGGTCTGGAGAACAGGGTCTGGAGAACAGGGTCTGGAGACAGGGACAACAGCAAGGTCTGAGAAAACAGCAAGGTCTGGGCACAGGAAACCCAAGGCCAATTGGAGCTGCCTCCCCAAAGCTGGATGACAAGGAAAACACCTGGGTCTGGGGGCAGGGAACCTGAGGCCAATTAACACACACTTCTGACAGCGGAACCAAAAGGAAAACCCCCTGTCCCCAAGCCGAGCAGCAAAGGATCAGAGCCTACTCTCCCTACAACGATTAGCCGCAGGCAATGCAGGGACCACCCCTTCATCTGCATAGGGCGCCAATTCACCTCAGCCTTTAATTAGCCAGGGACCAAATCCTTCATCCAGATACCGGGTAGCAGATAAGAACATCAAACAGGGAACTTAACACCCTTGAGCCCTTGTTGGGCCCGCTCCCACCCTACAGAGCGCTTTCTCTCTTGAATAAATCCCTGCTTTCGCTGCTTCACTCCCCGCGTTTCATTCCTCTGCTACTCTGTGTTTTGGTCAATTCTTTGTTCAAAATGCCAAGGACCTGGACAACTCATAGTAAAGACCCTCCACAAGTAACAGTAGGTTCTAGAGGCCTAATGGACAACACAGACACTACAGTTACTAATAACATCTACTTGCAATTGGCTCAGAGAGGAGATCGTGAGTATTCTCACCACACACACACACGAAAACAGTCAATGTGAGCTGGTGGGTATGTCAACAAGCTTGACTGTGGCGAATATTTCACAATACTTATAGCAAATCATCACGTTGTACATCTTGAATATTTGAAAAATATACGGAATGAGGAGCCCCCTGTGCTCTCAGATATAATTATGCTCAGAGGAAACTGCTGAAGAGTCACAGGTAACTTACCACAGATGGAGAATCCCTTACTCCCTGGAGAGACCGGGGACAGCAATGAGACTGAGCAGGAGCTGGGTCACAAAATAGCTATCCAGGCTCACAGGCTGGAGAGCAGCAGCAGTCCCCCATCCTGTGTGTGTGGTGGTGAGGGGTGGGAGTGATGCTGTCGGGTCCTGAGCCGAGGCCCCTAGGCCTTCCCTGGGAGGGTCCTGCGCCTCAGGCCTCAGGGTACGCGGCGTGGCAGAGAGATTGGAAGAGGAAATAGACCAGGAGCTGAAAACCGTGTCCAATGAACCATGAGCTCCAGATAAGAAATCTGTACTCGGAAAATTCTTACATATAAAAATACCTTTTAAATATTAAAAAATCTCATCTTGCCCTAATTTTTTGGCATAAATTTCATTTCAAAAACTTCCCACCTGTTGTGTGTGGACTAAGGAGAACACGATTTTTGGTGCAGTTTGGATGAAGTAAGTGGAAAATGGCGGGAAAGTGGCAGAAAGGCAAAGGCCCAGGCAAAGGCGCTGAAGAAATCTCAGGGGAAAAGCCCCTGTGGCCAGGTTGGCCCTCACCTTGGAAGGACAGGATCTGTCTCCAGGAAGTGGGGTCCAGGTCCCACATTTACCACCTGTCTGAGTTTCTTCATACAAGGCTTCCCTGCCTGAGGGGCCCTGTCAGAGCTGCAGTGCTGAGCCTGAGGCCACCTGCCATTTCTCCCTCCTCCTCTACACGCCCTTCTTCTTGGGCCATGCCTCCTCCGCCCTTGGGTGCTTGTCCGACAGGGAGGGCTGTGGAGGTGGCACATCCTGGAACCAGTATGTGCTGCTTGTGGGGGCTGCAAAGCCCTGCATGCCAGCCCCGCCCCAGGCCTCTGCTTACCAGATCCTTCCTTTCACCCACTTTGTTCTTCTGGCTGAGTTTTGAGGAAAGGAATTGCCTTTCAAATGCAGCCTGACTTAGGTCAGTGGTCTTTTTCTCTTTTCTTTTCTGTTTCTTGTCTGCACAGATGAGCTTTTCAGGACTGTGAAGAAAAGCAGAAAAAAATTGTCTCGATTCAGCACAGACGGAATTGTACCATCAAATAGTTTCTGAAGATTAATGTATTGAACTCAATCGTCACTTCTGAGAAGGAACAACTGACCAGCCATCACTGGTGACTGTGCCTCAATTTGCCTGCCCGGTCCGTACCTCTGCTGGCCCAATTCCTAGGGAGGTGGTGACTTGGGAACCCTTTCCCAGCCATGGCTGAGGCACCAGGTCCAGAGCCTCAATCCTTATTGCTGCAGTTGGGACAAAGGGGCTTCCAGGCAGCCTCCAAGTACTTAAACCAGAAAGTCAGGCAGGACGGCGCCTCCACTCGCCAGCACCCACAGGAAAGCACAGAAAGCCCGTGTGCAAAGAAAGAGAAATGGAGCAGGTTCACGAAGAGAAGTGATGGTGAGTGCCACATAGCCCCAAAGAGGCAGCCTGGCTCCAGCCTCCCAGTCAGTCCCCCGAGCAGCCTGGCTCCCTTCCTGGCTTGGCTTCCATGACATACCGGTGCTCTCTAACATATGGAGCCCCTCTCCCACCTTTCCTTTGAGAACGACTCTGGCTTTTGTAATCAAACTGTCTCTGCCTCACCTCACCACATACTCTCAAGTCCTTTTCTTACTTCATCAAATAGCCACGCGAGGCATCCTCTGGGTGTATCCTCCCGGAGGAATTTCACCAGGGCTGCCACCATTTCTGCCCCAGGAAGCCTAGCCCTATGGAGGGAAATAAGCCTTCTCTTTTCTTCCTCCATTCATTCATTCAACAACCACTTATTCATGATCTACTATGCTCCAGCTAAGTGCTGGGAACACTAAGATTAGTAAGACATAGTCCCTGCCCTCAAGGGGCTTGCTGATGGAGGAAAGGGCCAGTGGGGGCTGGAGAGTTCTGTGTCTCTGTGATAACTGCCCTTTTGCCTGCACTGGAATGGCCAGTGACAGACAGAGGGAGCAAAGGCAGGCAACAGCCTGGCAGGTCAGGGAGTTATGAATGTGCTGACTTGAGCCAGAGGTTTTTGTGGTTAATCAATCTCTCTTTTCTTTAGGTCGATGGGACTTCTGGGCTGAGATCGGAAAGGGTGGTAGGGCCCAGATGGTACCTCATGTGCCATGTTGAGGGCCTGGGCTTTGTTGTAAGGGGAATGGCACTAGTGGAGTGGTTCCAGTGGAGGAGTGCTGATCACTTTAAAAAAACCACTCTGACTGCTGGGCGGAAAATGGATTGGAGGAGACCAGCATGAAGGAAGAATACCAGCGGAGGAGCCAGAGGGGAGATGAACAAAGCAAGATGAAGCCTTTGTCTTGTTGCGGGGGTGGGGGGTTGTGTAATTACTGTTGTTTAAATAAAAATGTTTGTTAAAATGATAAAGGAACCATAAAACCAGAAATAATACATAAAACTTCAAAATCACTAGGGGAAGCAGAAACAAAGTAGCACTGTTTATTCCAACAAAACTCAGGGTGGGGAATGAAAACAAAACGTTGAGAGAGTATAACAGACTTCCATGTTTGTGTAGAATATAGAAGTCGGCACAGGCTAAAAGTCCTGCTGAAATAAATAGAGAAGAAAAAACAGAAAATTTACCATCAAAAATAAGAATTTTAAAATCACTAAACAGCTTTAAAAACAATTCCAGAGATGGGAGAGCCTTCAGGAATGAGCTGACAATCTCCAACTCTTGCCTTCCTCTGTGGGAGCATTTTAAATACCAGGTCACCAATATTAAGTACCAGAGTAGAGACTGATTCCTCTGTGCTTCTAACATCTTTGGTGGATTTTTTCTCCTTGGGTCTGACTGATGTCCTGGCAGGTGGGTATTCAACCTTGTTCTCAACATCACCCTCCCCCTAATAGGCAAGTCAAGCAATGCACTTGGTTTCTCAATGGAGGACAGAACTCTCCAGGCCCCAAGTACAGACAGCATTCCCCAAAACCTATTTGGAAAAGAATCAAGGAGGAGTGGGGAGGGGGAAGGGAGAGCATTATGAAAAATAGCTAATGCATGCTGGGTTTAATGCTTAGGTGATGGGTTGATCACCTAGGCGCACATTTACCTGTGTAACAAACTTGCACAACCTGCATGTGTATGCTAGCACTAAAAATAACAAATTTAAAAATCAAATAGAAATTCTAGATCTATAAAATAACTGAAAATAATAATTCAATGGATGGCTTTAACAACAGACAGACATAACAAAAGAGATAATAAAATATCTGAAACCACACATGGAAACACAGAAAGGATAGAAAATATACAAAAATGATAAGAGACAGAGAGGGAATCAGTGAGAAAATCTAAAATATGTTTAACTAGAGTACCCAAAAGAGAGGAGAGGAGAATATGGCAGAGGTAACAAAGAAAAAATAACTGAAAACTTCCTAGAACTAACTACAGACATTAACCTACAGATTCAAGAAGACCCATGAATTCTAAGTAGGAGAAATAAAAAGAAATCCACATCTAGAAACATCATGTAAAACTACAAAAAATCAAAGAATGAGAAAATCATAAAAGCATCCAGGGGAAAGGACAGATTACCTTCAAAGGAACAACAGTAAGACCAGCAAGTGACTTCTCAATTGAAAGAGGAAAAGACAACAAGATATATGCTGAAAGAAAATAACTGCCAACCTAACATTCTTAATCCTGAAAACACCCTTTAAGAATGAAGGTAAAGTCTGAAAAGACTAAATGTTGTATGATTCCAACCACATGACATTGTGTAAAAGGCAAAACAATGGATACAGTAAAAAAATAAAGAAATAAAAATTAAAAAGTAAAAAAATTAAAAAATTAAAAAATCACTGGTTGCTAGGGGTTAGTGGGGAGGAGAGATGAATGGGCAGAGATGATTTTTAGGACAATGAAACTATTCTGTGTGACACTGGAACAGAATGATGGATTCATGTCATTGTACATTTGTCAAAAAGCATAGAATGTACAACGCCAAGAGTGAACCCTTATGTAAACTATTAACTTTGGGTGATAATGTAGTTTGTACCACTGTGGTGCAGGATGTCAACAGTCGGGGAGGTTGGCCGGGCGCGGTGGCTCAAGCCTGTAATCCCAGCACTTTGGGAGGCCGAGACGGGTGGATCACGAGGTCAGGAGATCGAGACCATCCTGGCTAACACGGTGAAACCCCGTCTCCTACAAAAATATACAAAAAACTAGCCGGGCGAGGTGGCGGCGCTCGTAGTCCCAGCTTCACTCGGGAGGCTGAGGCAAGGAGAATGGCTGTAAACTCACCGGAGGCGAGCTGCAGTGAAGCTGAGATCCCGGCCACACTGCACTCCAGCCCCGGGCTACCAGACCAAAAAAACTCCTCTCAAAAAAAAAAAAAAAAAAAAAACAACCCAGTCGGGGAGGTTGTGGTTTGGTTGGAACAGAGTGTATGAGAATCCTCCAGGTCCTTTCCACTCAAGTCTGCTGTGAACATAAATTTGTTAGAAAAATGAAAGAAGTTGAAAAAAAGAAGGGAAATAAGATGTCTTAAAGCAAACAGAGATTATTTCATGAGCAATGCACATTTAATAAAACTGGGGAAACAACATTTCTGTGTTTTTTGTCCATGAGGTTACATAGTTAGCAGTATAAATGAGCATGACCTGAGACCCTAAGAATTTCCCACAAAAGGGTG